AATTCTGCGCGGAGCTGTGCTGCCAGGGCGTGTGCTGCCCGTCGTCGCTGCCCTTCTGCCTGTCGGTGCCGGCGCTGGTCACGGTGGGGGTGTGCGCGGACGCGGAGGGAAACGGCCGGTGCGACGAGGACGGCGTGGAGACCCCGGGCACGCAGTGCGTCGCCGCGGCGCGCGACGGGGAGGACAAGTGCTGCCTGGGCGAGCTGTTCAACCGCTGCACGGCCGAGCCGCCGTACATGTGCGTCACGGCGGAGGGTTTCGTCGAGTGCGGCGACGACGGCAGCCCGGGCGTCGAGTGCCCGGCCGGGCAGGGCGAGTGCTGCCCGAACCCGCAGCGTTGCTGCGACACAGGCTGCTGTGATGATGCCGACGGCGAGGGCGCCGGCTCCGCGAGAGAGGTCGAGCCCCGCCCAGATATCGTCCCGGCGCAGACGCCCGTCCCGCCCAGCCCCGAGCCGCTCGAGCCCAGCCCGTCCGAGGAGATGGAGGGTGAGGTTGACGACGAGCCCGCGTGCTTTCCGGCGCACGCCGTCGTGGAGACGGAAGACGGCAGGGCGCTTAGGATGGACCAGCTTGAAACGGGCGAGCGCGTCAGGACCGGCGACGGCGCGTTTAGCGACGTCGTCATGTGGACGCACCGCGACGCCGGGTGGCGCGGTCGCAACTACGTGCGTGTCGCCCTGGCGGACGGCCAGAGCCTCGTCGCGGCCGCCGGCCATCTCGTGTACGTGTGGCGCCAGGGGCGCGAGGCGCGCGAGGTGCGCGCTGTCGAGCACGTGCGCGCCGGCGATGGTATGCTGGCCGTGCGGAAGGGCGCCGCCGGGGGGAGCGCCGTCGTGAGAGTTGAAGCCGTCGACAGGGTCGCCGCCGCCGGCTTGTTTAACCCGCAGACGCTGCACGGCGACATCGTCGTCGACGGCGTCCTCGCCACGTGCTACACGAAGGCCGTCGACATGCGCGTCGCCCACGCCCTCCTGGCCCCCGTTAGATGCGCCGCGCGCATCCTCACCGCATCCGCATGGCAGCTAAGGAGCGCGGATGCTCGCGTGGCCCGGAATTGACGCTGCGAGGCGGCCGCTCGCGTAGGTGCTACACAGGGTAGTAGACAATGTGTTGGTCGTTACGGTAAAAGCCGCCCGCCCGCCGGCGTGCGCGTGGGCGATACCGATACGTTCCTTGCCGCGCGTGCGCTTCCCTTTTGCACGAGCGTCTGGAAATGCTCATGACTGTCCCGCGCGTGTTCCTTGCCGCGACAGCGCCTTGAGGCCGCTGCACGCATACCTCGCGATCTGTAGATGCGTTGACCGTGTACCTGCGGGAAACACGGGTTCTCCAGAAAGATGTCCCGCCCGCTGCATTTATTCAGTATGATTGAATTTCGCTCACTCCATCGCCGTCCTCTCTCTCCGCATCCCGCAGCGGCAATGCTAGAGGAGCACCTCCCCATAAAGCCGCACCCACGGCCCCGGCAGCTCACACTCGCGGCCGACGCACTTGCCCGCCCGCCTTCGAAGTCGTACAAGCTACCCCCCCACATACCAATGCCTGCGTTCCTCCCCGCGCCCCCTCTGCAACCCGCGGGCGCCGTCCTGCCCCTCCGCTGCCCCGCCGCCGCTCGCCCCGCGACCCGCCGCCGCCCGCACGTCCCCGCGCGCCTTCCGCCGTGCATGTCCGCCAACGAAAAGAGCAACGGCACGCCACCTCCCCTCCCCAGCCCTCGCGCGCTTTCCACCGCGGCTGAAGCGCGCGTCCCGCCTCGCGCCAAGAACGCGGCGGCCCCGGCCTCCAAGCGCAAAGCGCGTGCCGCTCCCCAGAAGCTGTCGCACTCCGACGAGCCGCGCACCGCGCATGCCGGAACCTCGCTCCCGCACATCCTGCTCATCCACTGCGGCGGCACCTTCGGCATGGACACGGTGTCGTCCTTCGACGCGTCGGGCACGCTGCGCCGCGGCGGCAACTACAAGACGGGGCTGCGCCCGGGGCCGCTGCTGGCGAACATCCTCGACAACTTCCCAGAGCTCCGCTCGCTCGCCACGTTCCAGGTCAACGTCCCGCTCAACCTGGACTCCTCGCGCCTCGGGCCGCCGCACTGGATCAAGCTGGCCAAGCTGCTCGACCGCAACCGCGACAACTTCGACGGCTTCGTCATCATCCACGGCACCGACACCATGTCGTACACGGCCAGCGCGCTCTCGCTTATGCTCGCGGGCTTCCGCAAGCCCGTCGTCTTCACCGGCTCGCAGATCCCCATGGCCATGCCGCGGTCGGACGCGCGCCAGAACTTGGTCGACGCCGTCACCGTCGCCTGCGCGGATCAGCTGCAGGAGTTTGCCTTGTGTTTTGGGGGGACCTTGTTGCGTGCCAATAGGGCTCTCAAGACAAAGTCCTCGGCATACAGGGCGTTCAGCTCGCCCACCTATCCGCCGCTGGCGACGCTCGGCGTCGACATCGAGTGGGACTTTTCAGCCTTGTGGAAGGACCCCGGCGTGTACAGGCCGCGCATCAAGCTGGAACGCAACGTTGTGCGCATCCCGGTCGTCCCAGGCCTCAGGCCGCAGATAGGGTACGGTGATTTGGTGGCTCGCGGCGTGCGTGGCGCCGTCATTGAGGCGTTCGGCGTCGGCAATTTGCCAGACCAGAAGAGCGCAGGCTGGATGGATTGGTTTAAGGACCAGCGAGAGAAGGGACTGGAATTGTATTTGGCGAGCCAGTGCTTGACCGGGCCGCTCAACCCGGCCTTGTACCGATCGGGGTCCACCGCGATGAAGTTTGGTGCCACGACGACGAGAAGGATGACAGCTGAGACTGCAGTTGTCAAAATGATGCTTTGTCTGGCGTATACAGACTTGCACCTTAGCTACCCTCTCGCTGGTGAGTTGTAGATAGGAACGTGAGTGCTAAGCCATACGGTACTGGTACTAGGTATGTTGAACCCTAGGCGTTTTGGACGAAGAACAGCATCAAGAAGATCTGATCGTTACAGACGCCGTTAACATTCTGCAAGCACTCGGAGAGGTAGTGTGGACGTAAAAGTTAGAATAGTGCCGCGACTAGTTTTATATTTGTTGTTTATATATATATATATACACGGAGTTTGAAACCCCCCGAATGCTCCCAAAGCCTAGGCTGAAAGCAATGCGGCGGAGCAGCCAAGTCCCATTGAAGAATCTGGGGGCCGCGATGATATAGGCATGCTACAAATACGGGACGCGGCCTCCCGGTTGCATATTCTCTTGGTACTCTTCTCTACCCAATTCCGGGTTTTGAAGGGTTTCCGCGCCATAGTGATACTCTCTTTCATTCGAGAGTGAGGAAACCCTTACGAACTTTGTCGATTTGGGTTCATCCTCCTTCGACCGGAAGGCGTCGCGTTCTGCTGCCTCGTCAGCTGCTCTGGCGACCAACACGTCGGCAATTTCCTGCGTGGCAATGGGCTTCAAGCACAGCCGGAGCGCGAAGAGAATGAATAGGGCGGAGAGCGACATGATCAGAAGTGACAACCAATTCAAGCGCCTAGAAGGGTCCCGCCACACGACAGCCTCCGCTATCGACTCGCCCTCGTCCTCAAGGAGGTCGGTCACATCAGCACTGGTCACGCCAATCGCCGTCGACGCTTTGATCACAGACTGTGCGAAGCGCAGAGCCGCCGGGCCGCGCGGCAGCAACGCGGTCAGCTGCGTCTTGTGTTGTGTGGACTGAGCTCTGACAAAGCCGGATCCGTCGCCCACTTGCGTGATGGTATACGGAGGCCCCTCGAACGTCTCGCTCGTGAACTCGAGATCCTTCATAAAGTCGAGGGTGATGCGATCGTCGTTGGTGGCTCGCTGGTACGCGGAGAGCAGGTAGCCGACGAGATTCTTGTGGAAGGTGTGCACCTGAGCTGCGCGGTTGCGAAAGATTGTGCGCTGGCGCAGCACTCGCACTCGGTCATCGTCAAAGGTGACGTAGGCGCGGGCAGAAAAATAGGCCGAGTCGTCGCCAATTGTGACATTGTGCTCCGCGCCGTAGGGGTGCATGTCGGACGTGATGGTCATGGGAACGTTGCCTTCTGCTCTTTCAAAGGTGTCAAACTCGATGGGGGACATGCTGGACACGACGCAGGTGTTGATGGTTGTCTTGAACTGGCGCGCACGGAGGAGCCTCATGACGGTGCATGGGCGATTGATAGAGCGGGTGGAGTCGTTTCGCACGGCGTTCCAGTCCGGGTTGACCGGTTGTACAAGCTCCAGGGTCTTTGTCGCATTTGAGACGGGTGTGGATATGCGGGTGGTGAGGACAAAAATGGTGAGGGCTAGAGCCAGTGAGAAGAAGATAAAGGCAAATGAAAGCAGGAGGAGGCGCGGGCGGTGCTCTCTATCTCTTTCCTTGGTGATATGGGTGAAACGGAAAGAGCGGGTGAGCTCAACGCTCTTGTTAATAAAGAATCTTGAAAGACTGACATTGCCGCCGGTGGTGCGCAGCAAGATGGTGGCGATGGCGGCGTCGACAGCTAGGAGAAAAATGATAGAGAGTACGGCGAGGAAAACCTCATCCAAAGTGAGGAGGTTTGTGAGATCGCGTTGAAATATGTTTGTGCGGGGGCCGATGGCGATAGTGTGCTTCAGAAACGAGGAGGTGTTGGGGGATTGGGAGATGTTCCTGGTGACGGTAATTGGAAAGAAGACGTAGTAGAGGTCCCCTTTGTCATCGGGGAAGTCGAACCATGCCATTTGAGCAGGGTGTATGCGGGGGCGAGTGGCAGCATGCACGGGGACGGGGATGTGGGTGGACGGGGCGGGGGGCAGCGGGGGAGTCAGAGGGGGGAAAATCGAGGGGCAGGGAAATGGGAAACGTAGGGCGTTGGCAAGCGGGGGGGTTTCATAGAAAGGGGTTGTTGTTGTACTTTGTCTCTGCTGGAGTCATTTTCTGGGAGTAGAGAGATATGTCAAGGCGTACAGGGGCGGGAGGGAAGTAGATGGGGCCACGAGGCGAGGAAGGGCAGTTGTGCGGATAGGTGCTGATGGGGTGTCATGAGTGTGAGGGGTAGGGGGCGCTAGTCGGAGAAGCAAGAGCGAGACGCTTTGATGGGGATCATGGCAAGCATTGGGTTTCACAGCAATGCGTAGGCGTGTTGTGCAAGCTAAGGACAAATTAAACACGTTAGTGGAAATGGCTGACGCAGGTAAGCGGTGTAATCTCCGATGAGGCCGAAGTACGCCCCTCACTACTGTACCGTTGGTACCGTACTAGTACTAAAAGGTGCCCTCATAATATCTTTTTTTCACTATGTACAGTAGGGTCACTACCAGCCCCCTCTCTGAGAGGTACCCAAGGGTAGCTACTGTACTACTGTAGTACAATACTACAGCACCATCCTTTGCGGATAATCAAACCGTCCACGTGTACACGCGCACACGCGCTACTCCATGAGGACCTCAAAAATAACCGCCAATTTCGTTTTGACTGTCAACTGATACCTGATTCGGATACGATCATCGGGCCTCGATTACCGAAGAAACAAGGGCTGCTGTTGTTCAAGTCCTCCTGAGGGCCTCCTTTAAGACAGCATGGACAACCCTCCAACGATTAAAGGGGGGATGCCCTCATGTCCGGACATATGGTGCAGTAATGGCCCTCTGAACCCCTTTGGAATGAAGACAAATTGCTCTAAAGGGGGGTGCCCTCCAGTCCGGACCAATGGCGCAGTATTGGCCATCTAAACCCTCATAGATATCCGTGCAAAAATGATTTTAGAACCAATAGAAAGCTACGATTCCCCTCTTTCTTACATGTTGTGATCATACACAGCCAATAGAATAAACTAACAGGAGCTGCCAGCAAGTACATCCCTTTGGAATGAAGACACTCATATTTGGAAGGCCATGTTTGAAACTCCCGCCTAACACAACTGCGGCGCGCGGGTTCGACTGGTAAGAATTGTTTTTAAAAGTAACCACGTGCTTTTCCGGTACGGTCTGCTGAACAGAAGGAAACAGAGGAGGAATGGCTGGGCGGGGCAGATAAACTCACTTTTCATGGCTGTTTACAAAGAATTCCTGACAATAATATTTGATTGATTTTTTGATTAGAGCACTTTTGTCCCGAGTTGAGGGCACCCTTCTTTTACAAACATCGCAGTGAAGATAGATGGTCGTTTACGGTTGGAGCTCCCGCGCACCCGAGATATCAGCGGTAGCGAGAGTACTCTTGACTATCTATCGAAAAGTAAACAAAGAAAGAACAATATCAGAGAATAGACATGTGAGGGAAGCCCAGGGAAGGGCGTCCTGACGGGGATGGGTGGGCAAAAGAGAAATAGACATATCCGAGAAGTCACGAGACTCTCACCCGGCCGTCGGCGATATGTAGGACAGTGCACGCCCGGTCGAATGCCAGGTGTCGGCATGTCACTCGCTACTCCCTGGACAGCTTCACCCGCATACACAAGTGTATACAGACGCAAAAATTAGTTTAAATAAATGACATCCACGTCATTCGCCGCACAACAACATCACCCCATTTTTATTTGGGATAAATCGCCACACAACAATGGATTTATCCCTTTTTGGGATTTATCCCCTTTTTAGTTACAACAGAGCTAAGACCCGCAAGCCCGCAAGTTGGACTTGCAATTCGCATGACCGACGCCGATACGCCGCGCGTCTATGCCACTCCTTGCACCCGCTCCTTGCACCCGCTCCTTGCACCCACTCTTTGCAGACACGCCGCGCTTTTGCGATCGCGCATCGCTGCCAAAATTCTTGTTTGCTGTTGGAAAAAGAAAGAACCCGCCCGCTACTGTACCGGAAGTGACAACCCTGACCATCTGAGGCCAAGCGTGTCCTCAAATGAGGCATATGTGCTTCTCGTCTCGTCGAAACTATGACCTCCAGAAAAGTCAGTCCAACTGACTTTTTTTTTAGGTCAGTTGCATGGTTGTCCATTTGCGTGCTAGAACAAAAAAAAACTGATACTTGTAGAAGAGCGGGGAGACGGTCGGTTCCGGGAGACCGCACACGGGATCCGGATCAACTAGGGTTTTGCTTCTGAATGTCCGTTTTTCAGGCCACCACGGGCGAATAAGCGAACCGGTGCGGATCGCGATCAGCCAGCAGCGCGCGTCGTGGGATGCGTACCGCCTGGCAAATGATTGGGTGTTATCCGAGGGGTCAGTGCCGTTGGTTGGCTAGGCGCAACTCCAGTTCCGCCACCAATGCTTTTCTCCCTCCTCCTCCTGTCCGCCTGCGACGCCCCCGACAAACCATCTTCGCCCACCTCACCCACACTACTTCCCGCACTGCCCGCGCCCCGCGCCCAACCATGCACGCACGCACTGCACTCTTCTACCTGCTCTTTCGTGAGTTGCCCTTCCAAAACCCTTTAACCGAACCAATCTCAACACCGCCCCACACAACAGCCCCCTGCCCTTCCTCCGCCCCCGGCCCCCTCCCCCGCCCCCCCCCCCCCATCGCCCCCCCCCCCCCCCCCGTCCCTCCGCCCGCCATCCCGCAAAATGGGCACGGAGGCCCCCTTCGCGGTGGACCCCGCCGCGCGAACGCACGGCTCGCGCAGCTCCTTCTCGTCCTCCAGCACGGAGCCGATGCCGGAGTGGCGCATCGTCGCGTGCGCGCTGGCCATGTGCGGCATCCAGGTGTGCTACGCGGCGCAGATCAACATGGGCACGGCCGAGCTGCTGCTGCTGGGCATCTCGGAGCGCGCCGTCTCGCTCGCCTGGCTCGCCGGCCCGCTCTCCGGCCTCATCGTCCAGCCGCTCGTCGGCTACGCGAGCGACTCGTGCACCTCCGCCCTGGGCCGCCGCCGCCCCTTCCTCATCGCGGGCTCCCTCTTCACCGCCGTCGCACTGCTCCTCTTCTCCAACGCCACCGCCCTCGCCGCATACCTCGTCCCCGAGGAACGTTCCATGCGCGTCGCGCTCGTCATCGCTATCCTTTCCTTCTTCCTCCTCGACTTTTCCATCCAGGCCATCCAGGCCCCGTTGCGCGCACTCGTCACCGACGTTGTTCCGCGCCGCCAGCGCTCATTGGCCAATGCTTACATCGGCGTCTTCACTGGTCTTGGAAATCTCATCGGAGGCCTGCTCACGGCCCTGAAACTCACCGCCCTCATTCCCATCTTCCAGACAGACATTCAAGCTCTCTTTTCCATCGCTGCCCTTGTCCTCATACTCACCGTCGCCATTTGTGTCTTTGTCACCACGGAGACACCGCTTCGCGCCGCAGGTTATCGCCCCGTTGCAGGTGTCGCAGGAGCGGAGGACCTCAACTACGACGGATCCCCACAGAGAGCATCACCCACCTCCAATACAGATCTCGACGGTTCGCTTCTCCTTCCAGCTCCACCGCAACAAGAGTCCCAATCCACCTGGGTCTCCCTTGTTACAACTCTCAAGGGCATTCCGCGCCCGTTTTGGCAAGTCTTTGCCGTGCAGCTGTGCACATGGGTCGGCTTCTTCACCCTCTTCGTCTACGTCAACACCTGGGTCGGCAGGAATGTATATCTAGGCAACGGCCGCGATCCCAGAGGCACCCCTGGCCGCGCAACCTTCGAAAAGGGTGTCAAGCTCGGCGGAAAAGGAAACGCCATGACTGCAGTTGTGACCCTAGCATATTCGCTCGCACTCCCACGCTTGCTGGAGCGATTTGGTACCACTTTTGTGTACGCCTTTTCGCAAGTCGTTGAAGCAGCTTGTCTGTTATGTGCCCCGCTGCTGCGAGGTGTACCAGGGCAAGTAGAGCCCTCCGTCGAGCTGCGTCTAGCAACTGTGGCGGATATCGGTTTGTTCGGGATTGTGTGGGCGACTACCATGGGCGTACCTTGGACACTTGTAGGAAATGCATTGGATTCCGACCCGTGGTATGCACAACGCGTGGGCTTGTTCACCACGCTTTTCAACGCTAGTCAGAGCTTCCCCCAGCTCATAGTTGCGTTCGCTGCGCCTTTTATTTTGTCAATGGTGCAAAACGATATCGCTTGGGTCATGTTCACCGGTGGGATATGCGCAGCGCTTGGCGCTTTGCTTGTAGTCTTTTTGAGGGTAGATGTTTTCGAGGGGGAGGAGGTCGCAGTTATTGGTGAGGAAGAAGATTAGACGCCATGAGCGATTGCTCTTATTTTTAGTTGATTCAGTAACTTGTAATTTATGCATTTGAAGACTTTTTAAACGTCCAGAGCTCACTACACTGCACGAAGCCCGACAGAGTATATCATTGTTTTATTCCTTTCCAAGGCAAGCGGAGAGTGCTACGAGACTCTCAAGAGCTACGATTGCAACTGCGGAAGATGCAGAGCACCGACAAAAGCACTTCTCGCATGCAGCTTGTGGTATAAGAAGAGGAAATGGTGGCTCGTTTCAAGTCCTGTTGTACATCCGCACGCCAGAAAGAATCGGCTGAAGCGAGCGGCGTTTATTGCGGATGTGATAAGCATTGGATATGACATCAACTGAGATACAGTGCAGCGTACTCCCGCATCAAACGTATGGTGTGCCAGGAAGATGTTGAGTCTTAACGGAAAATATAAGCCTGTTACGCGCCATATACAGCACCCTAGCTATACTTGTAGGGTACAAATAGATCTGGAGGCGGCTCACTCACACGCACAAAGCTTAAGAAAGGCCCTGTGCGCATGCAGTCCGCACTTGAAGAGATCAAAACGTGTGTGATGCATTGCTGAGATGTAAAATCAAATTTCCTTTACTTTTACAGTAATCGGGAATCATAAGACGGAAAAGCTTTTCTCTTAATCCACAGCTCATCCAGCTCGATTCACAGCCCTCAGAGCTCGAGTCCGAAACAGCGTAACGACGTAACAACACGGCAAGCGAAGTCTTTCAACGTAGCACAGGTTCGTTCTGTGTTGGTCAGATTTCCACATAATCTACCTTGGCGCGACACTTTCAGGGAAAAAAACCATGCCGACTTCCACTCGCGCGACAGCTGCGGAAACCAGTGAACCCGAAAACGTCGCAGTGGCCCAACTCACTCGCCAACTTCACGCCCTGGAAGGCGTAGTCTCCGGTCTCCGTCGCGAAATCATTCAACTATCGCAGGATGATACCGCCAATTCGAGTTCCTCCGGCAACGGCTTCTCCATGAGCCGTCTCCGCCGACCCTTCCTTATCGCTTCTACAAGCCCCAATCGGGCTGCGTCGATGCTGCTCCGCCTTGTAAGCAACGCTCCAACAGACAGTCTGATCGAGCTCATCCGCGTCTGTTTCGACGCGCCTGTCGGCCGCGTGGGTGATCGTCAAAGCGTGCGCACCGTCGGTGTACTTCTCTGCGATGAACTTCTGCGACGCGATCCGAATAACGTGCACGCGCTCTGTCTGAAGGGCGAAGCTCTTGTTTCATGTGCTCATTACGGGAAGAATGACCCCTACGCGCCTCGATCTGTAATGCAGGAGGCATATGAACTTTTTGACACGGCTAGCAAACTTGGATCGCATACGGCTACTTTTCTTAAGGGACGATGGTTGCTTACCATGGAACCGCTTCACAGGAATGCTGAGCAGGCACATCTGGGTGTGACTTGCGTGAAGGCGGCGGCACGGGAACTGTGTCCACGTGCTTTAGTTTTCCTAGCACACCGATATGAAACGCCCCAACTCGATAGTAGTTTTTCGTTTGCCTCGGATCTTCCAAAAGGCAAGGCCCAGAAAGAACGCTTCATTCTTGGATATTACAAAAAAGCAGCCGAACTCGGGAATGCAGATGCCATTAACGACTTGGGCACATCTTATGCGGAGGGTTACGGTAATCTAGAGTGCGACTTCGACAAGGCTGTTGAGCAGTACATTCTTGGCATCGAGGCAGGAAGTCTGCATGCTTATGATAACGTTGGGACGCATTATGAGACTGGCATGGCAGGTAGATTCCCGGGCCGCATTCATTTGGGAAAGGCTTTGTACTACTATCGGTTAGGGGCAAAGCAGCGATGTCCAAAGTGCACTTACAATCTTGCTGTTGCCTATGACGAAGGCATGTCTGGGACCGTGTCTATGAATAACAAAAAGGCTGAGAACTACTACATCCACGCGATTCGTCTGGCTGAAGATTCGAACGATGCAGTGGTTGTTGCAAAAGCGGCTAAGGACCTTGTCGCACTGTACATCACTCGTATTAAGGTCAATCGTCCCGACTCGATACAGGTAACTTCCGCGCGCAGACGGCTGTTTAGTGTCGTGGGTGACGAGGACATTATTCAGCAGACTTTACTTCAAGTTAACAAGTCGATTGCTACTGCAATGCGTGGGAAGATCACTGCTTTGAGCAAATTGGTTGGCGACATGAACTGCAAAACGATCGTAAAGCACGCTAAAGCCGTTGATCAAATGGTAAAAAGGGACAAAGCATCTGAGACAAACGCAAAGCTTTTGTTTCATATTCTTGGAGTACCGGAAACCCCGAAATCTCCAGAGGCTGCGATAGGAGCTGTCGGGCAGAAGAGGACCAGGGCCGCTACGCGAAGGGCTTTGAACAGCTCTCGGAAGAAACGGAAGACCACCACTTCTGCGCGGAAGTCCACTTCTCGGAAGTAATGCCAGGTCACTCACACAGAGCTGATCCAACCTTCATGCCTGCAGATATCCACTGATTTCTTCTAATACCTAGATACTGCACAACTCATTAAGATTTTGCAGTGGGCCGTGTGAGACTATGAAAGCAGGCAACGCGTCTCCGGGAATCGGAATGAATCGCTTTTCGGCGTGAAATGTGAGGATACAACGCTCTGCCCGGCAGTTGCACTAGTAGACTTCGAAGTCTGAAAGTGGAACAGAGCTGGATTGCCGTGGAAGACGGGAGAAAGGGAACACAGCAAAGAAGGAAAAATTTTCGAGCACACGTTCGCGTACAAACGTACCGCTTCCCTTCATAGTTCCCGACGAAGAATGGCTCGGTTTCTCATGAAAAAGTTCAGGGGCACAAGCCAACACTGAAGTCATGTTTCGCGTAGTGTACATTCTTCGCCCAATAAACAATTCCCTCGTTCACCGAAATTTACACACGCGGCGTTCTTCTTTCCATCCCTTAGCGAGATTATGAGACACCGTTAGAAGGGGCACGAAGTCTGTTGTCTAATTCGACGACAAACGCGAAAGGCCAAGGTCAGCAGGGATTTCCGTGCTGTAGCGCAAAACTATCACGGAACGAAGACTACTGTACCAAGAGACAAAAGGGTAATCGATTTAGTTTACAATCTGGTCAAGGACTGTTCTTCTACTTCACCAGTACGGCAAGCAGAATATCATTGAAGTGATTGCCGATATCTCGAAACTTAAGACAGATGAAAAGATCCTTGGCCTTCACGCACGGCATACATTATCTGCTTTCGAGCTATTTCTAGTGAACTATAGTCAGGCAACTTGAAGTAATTCGTGCAAGTCATGACTGTTGGGAGACATTCATCCGGAGAGTATTCATTCTCAGGGGTGCGGCGTACTATCGTTAGTCGTGGATGCAACTTCTTCAAACCTCCCAATGGCAGAGCAGGGGATCCCGTGGTGAACAAAACAAATTGCTTCTGTTCAATGCTGTCCATTTCAGACAGTATCTGAAGAAGATACCGTACTGCTGCACTTTCGTGACTAAATCCATGATCGCAACGGGTCGCCTGAACAAGGAAGTCTTCTGTCCACGTCTCAAAGGCCGGACCACACATCAAGAGGTCCAGTTCGTCATACTTAAAGAAAAGTAAGCTCTTGACGTCGAGAATCTCTTGCAGCCCGTGAAGCAGAGCTTCCGTCTGAGCTTGCACACCTCTGAACACAGTGTAGTACACCACCCGTCTCACATAGTCCTCCGCATTCCCGAGCGTCACGTCCACTTGTGCACCGTTCTCTATAACCTCCACTTCATCATACCCGGGAAGAACGAAATTGAGGCATAGGCTTTCGACTGTTTCTGGTTGGTTATCTCTTACCATCTCCAAGATCTTTGTCAGTGAAAGTGCTAGTTGTCCGTCGACGTTTTCCAAAAGTTCCATCGCAGACACACCATCCGTATACAGCTTCCACACTTCCGCTCTACAGCTGTCCGTAAGAGACGGAAGTGAACTCTTCCCCCGACGGTTACGGCTTCCAGGCGAGGCATTCGCGGAATGTCCGATAGCTTTGTTATGATAGACTCTGCAGTAGGCGAGCAAGAGTCGTGAAAAGCTTTGTGAGAAGCGAAGATCAAGAAGACGGCCGTCGACAATGGCCTTCCCTAAGAGACGTCCAACGAACGAATACAGTGGAGCGCTTTTTGATGATAAAGGAGAGGTCCCATTTCTTGAACCGGTCGTACAAGACGGGAAAAGACCTCTTCCCGTCGGAACGACATATTCGGGAGTGAAAGATGTGCCAGTGGCGCTAGCGGATGGCGATACCTCAGTTGCGCTTGCGATGTGTCTGCGACTGCGCCTCTTCACTGCTGCAGTGGGACGATTCGGCCCAGGGAGGGTGCCCGATTCGACCGAAGCCGCGCGATGGACGACGTTCTGGCGATTTTCTCGTGATCCATTAGTGGAAGTATTGCTTCGCCATAAAGCCAGGTCCGCTCTTTGCACCTCCCTGGAGGCCAAAGTGTAAAATTCTAGGGTTGGACCCAAACCAGTGCCAGCCTCGTCAAAATATTCCACTTCTAGTACAGTGGTGTGGGCACCATACATGTTGATAACCTTGATTGCAGATTCAAGAAGACGCCCCCTATGTAATCGCACCTTCTGTCGCTGAATCCGCCCTATTCGGGGTTCGCTATCATCTTGTCCCCGGCTTCCATGATTAGATGAGATCGCAGTCCCTGACATATCTACACGAGTCTGCAGAAGGTGTAACGCACGCGCAACCCCCAATGCTGTTGACTGAAACATTGCCTGTCTCGTTTCAAAAGGTATAAGAAACGAAGCATCCCTACACACTGAAAAACACCATTCTGGTATCATCCCTCCGCATAGTGCGATCGGATCTGACACCTGACGAAGAAGTTTCGCGCTGAGCTTGTAGCTGTGAAAATGAAGATGGCCGTCGTCATTCACAATGTTTAGCCCACCGGGAAGACACTTTTGAAGATGAACCCTGCTTCTCTCATGCATCCAATGAAGGTACCGAAGTACCTCTATAGATGCCGACATGGAACATGGTAGGGGGGGCGTCAGTGTCCTTGCTGTTGCAAGAATCACCTTATTCGTAAGGTTAACCTTAGAAGCAAAGCTGCTATTTGAGCTTCCATCACGGGACTGCCTCCTCTCAACCGTTATGCCTTGTGTCTTGCTTTGATTCCCCATGAAGCGGGGCGACCTTCTAACCGAACCAGTCCTGTCCGCGTTTGCGGAACTATGGACTAAATTATCAACACCGGCAGGACTTGCACGATCTCCACGCGAACTATCACTCGGCTTTTGGCCTTCACACGTGGAATACTCCAGTATGTGCACTTCTGACCAAAGACGGGACCCAATTTCACGGTCTTTCGGGGCACACCCTATTACAGCAGATAGAATTGAGCTGTCATGAGATATTTCCTTACCGTTCAGGGTGAAGTTGAGACGTGCAGTTTGGGCAGCACTTATCTCGGCCGGACGAGTTGAAGAGCCAGGGCCAAACCCTCGACTCGCACGACGCCTCGTCCCCAGCAACGAAATGCGGTCACTTGAGTGTGGCACGTTTGCTGCCAACGCTGCAGCGTAGGAACTGAAGGAGCCAGACGAGTTCGACGCGTGGCGATGGGCAAACGCTGACCTTTGCAACCCGTGTCTATGAGATTCCCCTCGGCGAGAAGTCCGAGGTGTAGGGGTTTGTCCCAGGGCTTCATGATCCAATTCAAAAGCAGGTAGTGTTGTACTGAAATGGTCCAAGTCAAATGCATCTGCCGCATCCATCTCTCGGCCTGGACTGCTGTGGAAATCTTGCTCAATAACGTCCCCCTCGTCATCTGCAGAGCTGGCGTCATCGTCTGATACGCCATTGCTCCCATCACAGTCATCATCCTCAATAACATGATCGTTCTCAGCATCTGCAGGGGCATCGATATCTCTCCCAGAGCCCCTCTTATGCAGCATGCTTCCAGTTTCCCGGTTTGTACCTCTCCCATTGTCAGTGCCATGATGCAAGTTTCTATCGCGGGAGGCGCGCCCTTCGCGACCACGCCCCAGTCGCCTTCTGTGGCTCAAACCCACCACACCTTCATCGTCTGGGCGATCCACTTTCGGCCACAAGAAATCTTCTATACTGGCCATGGTTGCCAGTGGCTCAATCAGAACTATGTGGTGGGAGTAATCCCGCAATTGCTCGGTGTCGTTGTCTGCGCATTTACGCAATCGCAGTTTGAATGGCTGGGCTAGTTGTCGAAGTCCAGCACTGACTTGATTCGAGACGCTACTGGCGAAGGACTGGTTCGTCTGTATTGCCAGGTTTTCCTGAGACTGGATAACTCCTAACCCCAAACCCACAAGACGAGAAAAAGCCCCGTCTTTACTCCTTGTGTTTAAGTTGTCGATAAGACACGCGATTCGAGAGGACTTTAATTTCAAGTCGGACGTTGATAGGTATTCATGCAGGCCCTCCATTAGACTGCTCTTTGATACCTCAAATGCTGTCAACCCGCCTGATGCAGTTAATCGCTGGACGAGATCTGACAGCGCACGAGCTGCACGAATTTCGCCGTCAGGAGAGTCAGCCTCAGAAAACGACATTCGGATAATGGAAAGCGGGCCCAGTGCAGGACTTTCGAAACACTTTTCATCAAGGGGGGCATCTGGGCTGGTCCTTAGGTGATCACTCAAAAACTTTTGCGCCTTTCCAGCGAGCAGCGGATCAAAATCTTCGTCAGTGTGCGAGCGACCATCACGACTAGCTGTCATCGAAGCCCTCGTGAACCGACGAAGTTCCTCAATTTGATCACGAATTACGTCCTCCCCTTCCGAATCGGCATCACTTCGAGGAGATTCTGCATTACCGAGGGCTGCGTGCAAAGTCGTATCCTCCAAGGATCGAGAAGCTCGTAATCTTTGAATCATACTTTGTCCCTTGGACTCAGAATGGCGCTGAGCGTTTCGCATTCGCTCGTCAGTCTTTTGGCTGTCCTCTTTGTCAGAGCCCACAGCAATGCCTGCATGTCTGGCAATCTCATTCATCACTCCTTCTTTCAGGAATTTCTCTCGGAGTGATGGAAGCTTTCGCAATGTAGCGTCAGCCATCTCCAACCCGACTTCAGCTTCTCCTGGAGTACTGTTCTCTCCTAGCAACCCTGCTACAAATGAGCAAAAGCTTAATGTGCAGTCTCGCGTAGTGAGTTTCGTGGCACCTGACGTATCCTCTTTGACGATATTCGTCAATACATCCGCAGGAGCGGCATGAATGAACATGAAAATTGTTGATAACGCATGCTGGCGTGCGTTAATGTCTGCTGAGGAGACGTATAATTTCATCAGCGTTGACAACAGTGTTTCGCCGAAGAATCGTAAAGGTTCTGAGTTCTTCTCCAAGTGTTCTCGTCGGAGTTTGTTGACCGATGCCATCGTAGCGCTGCCCGTGGACCCTCGTCGTCGACGGGGTCGAGTTGGCAGTGCCCGCTCTGGCTCCTGCATGTCTTCCTGAGCATATGGCAGTAGACTTTCAACCAAAGCCAGACAATCAAGGCAATACAACGTTGATCCGGAGCTCAATCTGGATTCAATCCTTTCTATAAATGGCTTATCTGAAAGGACTCGCAGCCCTACTGTCACGTTCCCACGGCACAGAATACTCAAGAGACGCAAAACGTATGAGTACGATTGAGGCGCCAGAGATGGAGGAGACGGGGGTACGATGAGCAGAAGAATACGCTCGATTAAAGCTCCTCCCTCCCCACATAGAACCTCAAGATTTGGTGCGCTGGTTCGAAAGGACTCTGCCAATCTCATAAACCCAAGGACTGTAGACTCTCGAATTCTCTGGTCGTCGGAATCCATGAGTCTCATCATAGTTGGTATGACACCTCTGATCATGTCCAATGCATTCGATTGAGGCTGACGGCAAAGATTGCAAGCTGTAGCAGCCGCAACCCGTTGCATGCTTAGTGAGAAAAAGTCGATGAAGGACAGTACGGCTTGGAAACCATTCGCCCTGACAATTTGTTGGGGATAGTCGACACTCAGCTTGTGAAGAGCAGATAGAGACTGTTCTGCTAAATCAATGTACTCGATGGAGAGCAGGTTCTGACAAAGAGGCTCGGCCGCGCCGTGGTTAGCAATGGCAGAGGATGACGACGGCAATGCATCCATCATATGCGTAAGCGCCCTAGCGGCATAAATTTTCACTTCTGTATTCGAGTCCGTTTGTAGTAAATTAACGAGCGGTGAAACAAACAAGTTGACAGAGAAAGAAATAAGGGACTCTTCAGTCCCAACCGAAAGAAACTCACACAATTCCGAAAGTGCCTCAATTTGCTGCTCTCCACCCGCCGACGACGGCGACGAAATAGCGGCGCGAAGCTGTTGCAGTCTAGAAGGAGAGGTACCAAAAGGGCCGGGCATCAGGTCAGCTCCAAGGCGGCGCAACAGACCTTGTAATGCACTCGGCCCACTTCTTTCTAGTCCATCTGTGCCAATTTCATCGCTGTCTCGGCTCTGGTTGCTCTCATCTCGTTGCCTTTGTTGGACGTCTTTTCCAAGATCCATTCCTCGTGATGATCGTCTCGAACCAGTCGTTCGTGTTCGCTGCTGAGAAGATTTGGTGTGTTTGCTCCTGTGATAACTCCTTCTCGCCTTCTTTAAAGGACTGGAAGATGGGAATGGTTGCGAGGATACGGGGCCTTCAAGAGAGGAGGGAAGACCACGTCTTCCTAATTCGGTTTGCCCAGGTGATGTGCCTTGGCCAGCGGCAGTTTGGCGGTCCGATTGTCTTCGACTTGACGATCGTTTTCGCTTGCGCGTACCAGCAGGTGGAGGTACTGGATGACTTGTCTGGATTCCTGGTGAATTAGTTGTTGTGGGAATTGAGGTAGGTGGAAGGGTAGGTTGTGTAGTTGAGTTCTTCTTATCTCTTGTGCTCCTGCGCGGTCTGCTACTCGTTAGAGAAGGGCGTTGGGGGGGTTCAGTGGTCTGGGGAACCGATGCAGAGGCACTGGCTATTCGAGTGTGCAATCTTGTACGTGGTCGTGGGGACCTTTGTGCTATGGAAGGTGATACCGAGTTTGAGTCTGGATTGGATGTTGTTTCGTTTCTTGCTGAGCGAGCCTCACGCCCTCTTCCTCGCGTCTCCATACGCTCCCTCGGCCATACGCTGGCGCCTGCCAAAGGGTAAGCGCAATAAAAAGTAGTGCGGAGAAAGAGCAAAAAGTAGGGATCTGGAGATGCAGACTTGGTTGTTCAACGACGAAACGAGGGGTGGCAAGAGTGGTCGAGGGGAAGCGAAATAAAAAGTCAAAAAGCGCAACGAACAGCGGAATGATTCTCCACGACGGTATGGGCCAGCGGGTTTTCTTTCGTGCGCTGGGTATATGAAGCGGCTGTGGCCTCTGGCGAAGGAAAGTGTGGAGCTTTCGTCACAAAGTCATATTTCTGCAAAAATTTCCCCCCATCACAATATTTTTTGCTGTTCGGTGTCTCTGGAACCCTCGCTGGCAACGTCGGCCTTACTTGGGATGAAGCTTTCGTGTACACGTTGCCCTAGCCAAATATTATTTTATTGCGGCCAGCCTCAAAAATAATTACTTTTTTTATTCTCACCAAACTACTGTACTTGAAGAAAAAGTTGTTCATGACGACAGCTTACCCGTTTGAAGTACAGCAAGTAGAGACGATGTCCTCAAAATATTTTATATTCATCCTTGCTGCCCCCTCTTCCCAGTACGGTACAGGGACAACACTTACTGCCCAACTGTTTAGTGCATATGCGGTTTCAGTGCATACCACGTCACCGTGCGGGTTTATTTATCTAACTTTCAAGGGGGGCCGATGCTATATCACAGGACCGGCGTCTCTAGGACTCACGCTTGAGTTTGCCACATTAACCATGCCCACGCGTTCCGCGTGTGCTCGTTTACAGCAGGTGATGTAGAGGAGAAACCCAAAAAGAGTATCATACAGTATGCATACATTTATGTTTATGACAAAGTTGTTTTATAATTTCTCGAGAACTGCGTTCGCAACGAGAGATTTCACTTCTGTTTTCTTGTGTGTATGCTTTATTCAATGACTGTTGTTGCGAATGCTATCTCATCTGTTTTCTGCAACTACCTCGAGAGGTAGCTACTGTAGCTAGAAGACCATTCCCGCAGAAAGAACATAGTCGATTCTAGCGAAAACCTCTTCGTTGATGCTGGTAAAAGCGTACCAATCAAAAGAATGGGTTACAACAAGCCTTCTTCTCTGAGCTTTAATTAATTAAAGACGGTTGCATAAATATACTGTATTCCTTAGCGGATAATGCATTAACATCATTTAAAGACAGGGCGGTGTCCTAGCAGTGATGCACCAGCCTTCCATAGGTTACTCCGGGCAATGTCAAAAGAGTTAACGTACCGAAGAAAAATAAAAATCGCGAACATCAAAGCTGAAAAGAAATAAAATTCGCTAGCTATTATGTTATGATAACGCTTAGTCGTAAAGACGCAAGAGCACTATGATTATGAGGACACAAGAGCACTATGACTACATATGAGCACATATGATGGACCACTGCACCCACTCACTCATTCTTCATTTGAGCTTGTGATCCCATCCCAAAAATCACATCATCTCCATCGCTTCTACACGTGCAGTGCTACCTACTGCATGTGTGCTGTGCAACGGGCCTGGCAGCATACATACCTTTCATCGGACATCTGCACCGCGACCATCATCAAAAAGTCAATGCCATCCCCTCTGGAAGATGCATGCGCATCAACCGGGGTATCCCCAGCCACAATCCGCGAAGCGTCCGAAAGAATCCGCCCCCATGCCCACGTAACCCCAATCCTAACGAGCTCCCTCATCGATGCCTGGTTGTGCGGCAGCTCTCCCGCATTAACAAATTTCTTTTTCAAGGCAGAATGCTTCCAAAAAACCGGCTCCTTCAAATTCCGCGGGGCACTCAACGCGGTTGGCCAACTGCAACAATCCACATCCACGCGCGGCAAGCCCGTTGTCACCCACTCGTCAGGTAACCATGCGCAGGCCCTCAGTGCCGCTGCTCAGGTGTATGGTGTAGCCGCCCACGTCGTCATCCCGCAGGACGCCATTCCTGTGAAATCTGAGGCGGCGCGTGCATACGGAGGAACCATCCATGAATGTGCCCCTGGCATGGATTCACGGAGGAGTGCGGCGGAGAAAGTGCTGCATGACACTGGTGGTATCCTTGTTCACCCATTCCTGGACCCGAACGTCGTATCAGGACAAGGCACAATTGGAATCGAATTGATACAGCAGGTCAAGGACCTCAACGCCATTGTTGTGCCTGTAGGTGGTGGCGGGCTCATATCTGGGATTACAATTGCTGTGAAGAGTGCTTGTCCTCATGTCAAGATAATTGGAGCCGAAGCAGCGTTGTCAAACGCCGCGTCAAGGAGTCTTGCAGCTGGAAAGCGCATAGAGTTTTACAATCCATCCACTATCGCTGACGGGATAAGGGCCGGTATAGGTGAGCTCGGTTGGGAAGTCCTCGGGAGAATGGTAGAAGAGGTCGTATCTGTACAGGAGCCAGAGATTGAAGATACCATGAAGACTTTTATGGAGCGCATGAAAGTCGTGATTGAGCCCAGTGCTGCTGTTGCTGTTGCGGCTTGTAAGACAAAGCAGTTCCGAGAGAGAGGATTTCGGAGGGTTGCTGTGGTGTTATGCGGCGGGAACGTGGACTTGCAGGCTCTGCCATGGAATTGCAGGCGGTGACGCCTGATGATTGGAATCTATTCTTCGAAGAAGGCATATATATATACTGAGGATTTTTCCTTTGTCTCCCACACTGGTTGGCTGTCTAAAGTTTTGCTGTTCTGGACCCGTTTTTTTTTCTCGATCACACATGTTCTGCTATTTTGTTTTCATCTTCATCTCACACTGCTCTCTCTCCTTTGGATCTAGCAGCATGCCAATCCTCTGTTTTCAACAAATCGGATGGCCTACTCTTTCAAGCGAAATATGCCGTAATGAATAGCAGATCAGAGGGTAATACATTGCTCTGTAGATTTTTTAGAGAGAGACACACATTCACACTTGAGCCATTCATGATTGAGACTAACTCTAAGCTTCATTAGTGACCGATCTACCGCCATTTTAGCAGAGTTCGATGAAAGATTAGGCTTTGATTCGTCCTAATGGGCACTTTCTTACAATACCCATGCACTTTCGTGTCCGTGTTTTCTTCGTCCAGACTTGATCTTTCTAGTACAATGCCGTGTCAAGCAAACGTTGTACCGTTCTACGAAAAGGCCCTCCTCGAGCGAAGGGTTGTGCAAGAGCATCAGAAAGTTGATCAGAAAGAGATTTCGACGGTATCTCGACACACAATATTGCCAGCCTTTAAAATGCTGGTCGCTACGTTACTTCCTGAGAAATTGAATAATGCGAACTGCGCCGGGCAATACTTTAGTATTGCCCGAATTGCGTCGGGCAATACTAAACTTTACTTTAGTATTGCCCGAACTGCGCCGGGCTGAACTGCGCCGGGCAATACTAAAGTATTGCCCGGCGCAGTTCGCATTATAAAAGTATATACTTTTATTGCATAAACGTGGACAGATATATAATTCGTATCCCATCAGGTGTGCTCGATCAGAGTTACAGTTACAGTAATGACTAGAATTGAAGCGCAGGTGGCACTATTTCCGAAAGTTGCGATGTGAGGCATGCCCAGGGACAACGCCTCAACTTTAGATGTGTGAAGTTGTCAAGTTTTCCCTTACCCCCTCCCTCCCTTTATCTTTCTATCCCCCTTCTGCCCTTAACAGTTAAGGGAAGTACCCTCCGCCGTCCCTACGGGTGCAGGTGTACACGTATACACATGTACACGTACGCGTAGTGACAAGGTGTATACAGGGGGGGTCGCGATATAGTGCTACCCTGTGTCAGTGGGCCGAAAACGGCACTATATCGAACCAGGCACTGTAAGATAATGAGATTTACGGCTTTTTGCAGCCACCCCCTTGCATCACTGCTCAGAAAGACCGCTCGCAGGACGCCATCACTCATACTTTGCATCTTCACTACAGTAGGATGTGCAGTATCCCTCAGTGTGTGGCCTTTGAATCCTTCTCCTCTGACACCTGAATAGGCCATACCGACGAGCAAAATGAGATTCATCGACCCTGATAAGTCTCGAGAAGACCTGAAAAACAACGGCTGAGCCCTTACGCCTTCTGATTATTGTAGACAGAACACGGCAGGTGCAATCAAGCAGTGGTCGGGTTTGATGTCCGATACTGTTTTAGTCCCTCCTCTCGTTTACTTTTTTACATGTCCATGCTGTGAACAACCTTCCTCGGTTCGCTCCGTGATAGTTGTCGAAATATTGTGCACAACATATCTCCACTTACAGTATTGCAGAGGCATCGTGACACTACAATTCATTTCGGCTTGACGAAAGCATGCCTTATTCGGCTTCAGTAAAAGATACAGCACTGGGAAGACGTCACCGTCCATGCTTCAGCAGAAAAAAGCAACATTTTTCCAGGGCAAGAGGCCACGATTATTGAAGAACAAGATTAGTTGGTCGCTTGCCTGGAGATTTCCAAAGCGCCTCTTTAAGAGCCGAACTGCCACGAAAGAGGGAATACAGAAACAGCAAGCAGAATTTCGAGAGAAAGCTTGTGACCAAGCCGTTTTGATTTAATGTAGATGTCCCCACCATCAGAAATGCGTTGATACTGTTGGAAGCAATGCAAATGGGTGCGGCATGTACCTGCCGCTACGTCTTTGTGCAGTAATCACAATATCTTTCCTTTTTAACATGAAACACATCTTTTCGATGAGGCTGAGTGATCTCGGAGATCAACAGGATGTTCTGTTTAGTGTTTGTACAGTAAGTCAGGTTCTTCTCAAATTCTATAGGACAGTAACAAGAGTCAAGCGTTCGTGAGCAAACCGAAGCGAAGTACAAATTTAGCCACAGCGACAGGGACTGGATTTTCAGTTCTCCCTACCTCCTCGGTGCAATGGATTCACATCATCAAATGTCGACGTTTAGCGTTATTTTGCTTATCCTGCTATGATCGATTTGTAATGCCCAGCGGGCTGCGAACTGCAAGAATCCGGTGAGGGTTTGCAAAAAATCAACAAACTATTTTCCACGGGCAAATCGCATCAAGATTGTCTATGCAAAGAAGACGATCAGGAACTTGAAGTACACTAATACCTTCGTAGATTTCACTGTACGCGGGTTGGGCAGTAGCTTCTTTCAATATCGTTTTGTTGTCTGCGGCTGCAGCCCCGGAACCGGTCTAATGGGACGTCAGGTTCTTTATATTGACGCCAAGGCTCTGTATGTAAACGAGGGACCGACCCTAGCCCTGTTTGGTCTCATTGCCTCCAATCTGAACGCTCTCAAATATGTAGAAAACGCCAAGTTTATCTATTCGCCCGCTGTGCGAGACCGTGTACGGCGGGGGAGCACCAAAGATATCGCTGGGCGCGGCCTTCTCAACGCATTTTGACAGACTAAAGAACGATCCACTGTTAAGTGCGAGTATCATTGGTGGCTTTGGAGCAAATTCATATCGGGCGGCTCGGACTGGAGTCCCGTTTCTGGTTGTTGCTGAGACTCAAGAAGCTAACGCACTCGCTCGAGCAGAGTGGATGAAAATTATTGGACTTCTCGTCAATCGCGCTGGAGTCTCCAACTCCTTGTTCAAATCGATCGAGCGCCAGTACGAAGCTGTTAGACAGCGGGCCAGACGCGCACAGAGACGTCCAAGTGTTTTCTTTAATTACCCAGTGGCAGCATTCCCACCCTCTGGCGCATCTTTGGACAAGAAATACAATTGGTTTTTGCCTGTCAAGGATCAATACATCACAGACTTGATTCTGGATGCCAATGCAGACTATCGGTACAGCGTAGACCGTAGCGGAGCGACAAAAAGTGCAACGCTCTCTCAAATCAAACGAGACTTCAAGTCTGCTCGCTTCTTGATACAATCATCCAGGTTCCCCGGGTCTAGTAGTCTGACACTTGAAAACTATATGTCTGGGCTTGTCAGTCCTAGCTCTCCAAACAAAAAGTTCCGGGATGAGATGGCAAAGTTTGCTGCTGTTCGTTGTGGAAATGTCTGGGGCCATCAACGCCGTCTATCGCCAGATGGCCAGGCAGACGATTTTTTTGCTTCTGCTGCGTTTCGGCCGGACCTGGTGCTAGCTGATTTCATGAAAATTCTCCATCCGAAGCTTGCCAGAGGTGCTCGCTTCAACTACGTCTACAACTACAGAGCCACATCCAAGAGATATACTAATAATTGCCCCTACGACGTACTTGAAGGAAAGCCACCGCGAGGGAAGGTATTCTTTGATAAGAAGTTCCTCATTCCTGGTCTCAACAGGTTTGCTGCGGAGGATCGCCTGGATGACAGAGTCCTTCCGCGGATCCGCAGCGCACTGACGGGGTCTCCTAGAATTGAGCTCTTCTTCGCAACAAAAGACCAAAAGAGGGGAAAGACAATTGTGACGGTGAGAACATTGATTGACATGAGATCTACGGCGGCATTCAGGCGATCGAAAGCCGTCCTAATGGCGATGAAGGCTACTCTAGGGAATAGAGTTCGGCAAATTGGATGAATGCTATCTTGCGCGTTTGGCGGTTATGGCCTTCGTATCCGTGCACTCTTCATAGATGTTGATGTCGTGGGAATCATACTGTAGCCCTACGCAGCGGAGAAGTTTCAATAAAGGCAACGGTTACATTAGCGAGGTGATGATGACATGATGCAACACTGCAGTTATGTGAGAGTTGACGTTGGCTGCTTCGTAGACTTTACGGGACTTCCGTGAAGCAAGAATTTCTGGAAAGGGGATCGCTCTGGGATGTACTGTACCCTGGGGTACAGTATTACTCGAGCGGGAGAACTGATCCGTTTGAAAAGCTGCGTTCTTTTTATTTACAGACATGAGTGGTACGGTAGTGTGAGTCGACCAATATTGCTTCTTCATGTGCGAAGGGCAGTCCAGGTAGAGTGTTGTGCTGAATTGTATTCTCTGCCATTTCTGACTTCGCCCCGGAAAAGGGTCGAGGTGACGGCATGCGGTTCATCTTAATGATGCTACACATATCATCCAGAGTCTCCTTACACATTTGCAAGCCCTTCAATTAAGACAGAATGTTTGGATAGAAACGGAAACACAGGCCTTATGCACTGGAACCGGAGATCTGAGCTGCTTCACGAGTTGTGCTAAATTATTGCATGATCGAATGTTATGGGGTCATTAAGATAAACAGTGGGGACGCTTTTCTTTCTAATGTAATGAAGCACAACAGAGTCAGTGAGAGTAAGAGGGTGTTCATTCGATGCAGTAGGGACAGGTCGTTCATCCGGTGCATTGGGGGTGGATCAAATTATTAAAACTTTCAAGGGCTGAGCACGTTTTGGAAGAGTACAATGTGAAGAAAAAATGCTTTGCAGTTTGTCACTATTCGGATAACACTGTAGGACAGAAGCAAGAAAGCATTTGTTGTCTTGATTTCATTACAACACAAAGTGATACGAACCAAAAGTCTTGTCTGTAGTTTGACCAACACTGCTTCGTCTTCGCTGATCCGGATTTACTTGTTTCGCTTGAGCAGCAAACAAAAACAACGCTTGCTACTGGAGATGTATGTCGAGCCATGTGCATTGAAGAATGAATTCTTGTGGTAATGCTCAAGAATCTCAGAAAATCAAAGGCAGATTCATGAAATGTAATTCTCAGCGGGACAAGTATTTCATTTGTTGAAAGAACAGGGAACCTCGCAATTGCGAAATGCGCATACACACTTGAAACGCATCTACAAGATATTTTATAGTCTTCTCCAAGAAACTGCCCAAG